TAAGAAACAAGCTAAAAAGGAGTGGTGAAAGAGGAAGATTTTTTTTTTAATGATATTTTGGATAGGAAAGAAAGAGAGAATTTCAAGAAATAAAGAATTTCTAATGTGATATTGAGAGATGACAACGTGCTAGCGGCCCTCGCTTGCTCTCAGCGCCTCCCCGGCCTCGGCGTCCACTCTGGCCGCCCTTGACGAGCCCTTCAGCCTGCCACTGCGCTGTGGGGGCCCCTCTCCGGGGCTCGCTGAGTTCAGAGCCAGCTCTCTCTGCTTGCAGGGAGGTGTGGAGGGAGAGGCACAGGTGGGAGCGGGGCCGCGGGCAGCGCTCCTGGGCCGGCGTGGGTTCTGGATGGGTGCAGGCAGGATGGCGGGTCTCTGTCTCTTTTTCATTTCCCCTCTTTTCCTCTTGGTTGTCTGGGACGAGCTCCCTCTGGGTGGCCAGAGTGCCCAGGCTAGGTGCCACAAAGTCCTGCCGCAGGTGCCAGTGAGAGGTGAAGCCGGCTGGGCTTCTGGAATGGGTGGGGACTTGGAGAAAACTTTCCCCTCCCTCTAGCTAAAGATTGTAAATGTACCAATCAGCACTCTGTGTCTAGCTAATCTAGTAGGAACTTGGAGAACTTTTCTGTCTAGCTAAGGGATTGTAAATGCAGCAATCAATAGTCTGTGTCTAGCTAAAGGTTTGTAAATGCACCAATCAGCACCTTGTCAAAATGGACCAATCAGCTCTCTGTAAAATGGACCAGTCAGCTCTCTGTAAAATGGGCCAATTAGCAGGATGCAGCTGGGTTCAGATAAGGGAATAAAAGCAGGCTGTTTGAGCCAGCAGTGGCAACCCGCTCAGGTCCCCTTCCACACTGTGGAAAGTTTGTTCTTTCGGCTCTTCACAATAAATCTTGCTGCTGCTCACTCTTTGGGTCCACGCTGCCTTTATGAGCTGTAACACCCCGAAGGTCTGCAGCTTCACTTCTGAAGCCAGCGAGACCATAAACCCACCAATTCGGGACACAATACGTCAAAGTATAGTCAAATGTGTAAAACTTTTAAAAGGGCCTAATGGATATACAATTGGAAAGTTGTAAGTGTGAGGGTGTCTATGTGTGTGAGTGCATACTGTATATGCATATGTTGTGGTGGTGGTGGTAGCAATGTCAGAAATAGTGGGAGGAGGGGAAAAAACAGGAGCTAATGACAGATTGCAACTAACTTAAATGCCAATTTTGTTTTAACTCTTACAATAGATTGAATTGAATTACAAAATATGAATTGATCTTTTTGTTTTACCCTATCTTTAACAATGTAAAACATTAAAGATCTTCACAATCTCTTCTGAGATCTGTTTGCACTTTTCCTAAACATCACTAGCAAAATCATTTCTGCAGATCCCTGTAAGTTTGCTTACTCATTATATTAGTTTTTTTATTGTTGTGACAATTTAACACAGAGTCAGTAGCTTAAATTCACATGGAGTGTGTTATCCTATAGTTCTGTATGTCAAAAGTCTGGTACAGGTCCTAACGGGCTGCAAACAGGGTTTCAGCAGGGCTCTATTGCTTTTTGGAGTCTCTATAAGAGAATCCATCCATTCACTGGCCTTTTCCAGCTTCCAGATCAGGCTCTCATTCCTCAACTCCCAGCCATTTTCTCCAACTTCCAAGTAAGTAAAAGTGCATTAAGTCTTTTTCACATCACGTCACCTTGACCTTCTCTTCTGCTTCGCTCTTCCACTTTTAAGAACCCTTGTGATTACACTGGGCCTACGTGGATGATGTAAGATATTCTCTTCATTGAAAATAAAAAGCAGATTAGCAACTATAATTCCATGTGGAACCTTAATTTCCCTTTGCCAGATAACAGGGATTAGGATGTGGATGTTTTGGAGACTATTGTTCAGCTTCCCACATTTATGTATCTCTTCAAGGGTGTTGCCTCAACTCCGTCTATTTCAATCCATTCAGTATAATATCTAACATTCACTGAGTGCTACCACGTGCTAATCAGTGTGCCAAACATGTTATGATTTTAGTAACCATATAGAAAATGTGTGTGGGGAGGGAGAGTGGAAAAGGGGGAGTTCACCTTGATTTTTATTTGTCTGCAACTTCCCATTCATACTTCATCTCGGCATGCAGTTCACTTCGTTTCCCTTCCTGCCTTCAGGGTTTTGGGCCAAAAGAAAATAATGTTCTTCTTAGAAACAATATATGAAAATACAATTTTCCTTCCCCAGCACAGTTGCACTTCACTGCAAGTATATGCCACATTGTCACCGCTGCTGGGCATGTGGCTACCTATAATCAGTTTTTTTTTTTTTTTTAATTGTTTTTGTTTGTTTTTTGTTTTGTTGTTGTTGTTTGTTTGTTTTTTTGAGACAGAGTGTTGCTCTGTCGCCAGGCTGGAGTGCAGTGGCGCGATCTCGGCTCACTGCAACCTCCACCTTCCGAGTTCAAGCAATTCCCTTGCCTCAGCCTCCCGAGTAGCTGGGACTACAGGCACGTGCCACCACTCTCTGCTAATTTTTTGTATTTTAGTAGAGATGAGGTTTCACCGTGTTGGCCAGGATGGGTCTCAATCTCCTGAGCTGTGATCTACCGGCCTCGGACTCCCAAAGTGCTGGGATTGCAGGCATTAGTCACCACGCCTGGCCCAATCTGTTTTTAAAGGAGTAGTTTGTTCTATAATTTGATTTAAAAAGGTTTTGATACTCTAGAATTTAATTTGAATACCTTCATAGGATTGAACTGTGTGGCTGCAGGACCATGCTTTTTTATGGTGTTTTCTATTTCTGTTTCCAGGTAAAACTTTGTTATTATTATTAATGTTGTTTGGTTTAAAATACCATTATGACCATAATCTGAAAGAAAAAAGGGAGGAAAAGTTGGAAGACGTGGGAATCTAACCTTATAGCAAGAGGTAGATGTTAAATATGTTTTTTTCATTGCTCTTCCCCTAAATCCTTTCTTCAGTTTCCTTTCTTTCTTACCCTCTTTTTTCCTTTTTTTATTTCTTCTGTCTTTCCTTCCTTAATCAAAACATTAACAAAGCCCTCTTATATTCAGAGCTTTTAAAATTCTACTCTTCTGTTTTGAGAAACTTGTAAAAATGAGAACATTTTATTTAGAAAAGTTATTAATAAAATAGTAAGCTAAACAAAGAGATCAAGAAATATTTTTCTACATGTTCAGATTATGGTCATGATGGTATTTTAAATTAAAACACAAATTCAATTCCAGTTCAAAGACATAGGAAATAAATGTTTTATGTAAAAAAGATTAAATTTTAAAAATGGATATTTATGGTCTATTACATAAAATTTGAATTTAATTGAAGAATTGAAAAACAAGAACTAAATCAAAGTAAAAGCTTTTTACCATTTTTCCTGGCAGTAAAATATCTTTGTCATAAAGTATCAGAATCTTTAAATTCTTTCCATTTTCTGAGATCAAGCATTTCATTTAAGCACAGACTTCTTTCTCCTAAGGCTGTTAATTATTACCAAGAATAAAGAAGTTATCTACAAATCAGAGATGCACATTGGCACAGAGGATAAAATTTTACATCAATAAATTAGAGATCAAGCAATTGTTACTACAATGATTTAATATTTATTTATTTTTCAAACCAAATGGAATTGGTATTATAAAACAAAAGGTCAGTTTTTTATAACAACCAATACAGGACCAGATATTAAAAAGACTTTGATTTGATGTGTAGGTGTTATTTCATTCTGTGGTACAGCAATTGCAAAATCTATCTATTTCTGGAGTTGCCCTGTACTTACCCTCCCATCACAATGCAGAGAACCCCAATGCTTGGTTAATCACTCATGACTCCCCAAAGGCCAACTTTCAGTGGTACTAAGTGCTGCTTGCTTGTAATGCCCCACTTTCTGTGATTTCTCTCCCTCCCACCATCTTTTCCCACAAACATTTCTTGCTTACCTGATCCACATCAGGAGCTATGTGCTGAGAATTCAAATGTAATAAGGTTGTAAAAAGACTGGGCTCTTTCCCCTACAGAGTTCAGTCAAATGGAGAGAGAGAGACTTATAAAGTGGTAAGTGGTTTCCTACAATGTCTTTCCAATATTTTTGAACGCTCTCCATAAAAAAATAAAAATAAAAAAATAAAAAGAATTTAAAAAAAACATTGTTTCAATATAGTAGATACCTGTATCAGGAGAAAAAATAATTCACAAAGCATTATTTGCTATTGTTATGCATGATATACTCTGATATCCTCTATTTTATTTTTTCTATCTCTTTTCTTCAAGCTAACCATTAGGAAATTGTTTTAATGGCCCACTATGTTACAACTCAACATTAGAGAAATATGGCTCTAGAAGATGCATGCAGGCAAACAATTCCAAAAGATAGAGATACAGTATTTTGTATTTACCATGGCAACCCCAATTGTTCAGAAAACTCCGTAGCATAGATTAGCTATCCAACATCCACTAGTTGAATGGATTAATGGATGGTTGGAATAAACGCTTTAATCACTCCCAAACTTTTTACAGGTCATCAGGAAAAGTTTTACTACAGAGGGTAGACTTAGGAAAGATGTGAAAGATTAGCTGTATTTTTCAGAGAAAATTATTACCTAACTGCCTGTAATGATGGAGGCATGAGAAAACATGGAATGTTTGAGATGTAACAAGTAAATCAGAATGACTACCATTTTCCAAGGTGATGAACTCATTCAGCCCCTTAGCTTTAAAAAGCTTTAAATTTTGTTTGTTTGTTTTTTGTTTTTTTGAGACTGAGTTTCGCTGTGTCGCCCAGGCTGGAGTGCAGTTGCGCGATCTCAGTTCACTTCAAGCTCCGCCTCCCAGGTTCACACCATTCACCTGCCTCAACCTCAGAGCAGCTGGGACTACAGGCGCCCGCCACCACGCCCGGCTAATTTTTTGTATTTCAGTAGAGACAGGGTTTCACAGTGCTAGCCAGATGATCTCGATCTCCCGAAATCGTGATCCGCCCGCCTCGGCCTCCCGAAGTGCTGGGATTACAGACGTGAGCCACCGCTCCCGGCCTAAATTTTATCCATATACTGATGATGCACAAATTTATTGATTTAGTCCTGACCTCGCCCTGAGCACCAAACATTCATTTTTAATTATCTGCTTAAACTCTCCATTTGGATATCCAATGGGCATGACAAACTTAACATTTTCCAAGCAAAGACCGTTTATTTCCTACTTTTCCCAACTTACTCCCCTGCCACCTGATATTTCCCATCTTAGTTAATGGGATTATCATCTACACATTCAGTGAGCAAAAATTAAATCTTCCTTAATAGTCTAATCTCACAATCTATTCTTCTCATTGATCAACAAATCTGTTATCTTTACCTTCAAGATACATACGAATTTCACAAATTCTCATAAGCTTACCTACTATTATTTAGTCCAAATCATAACCATCTTTTGCCTGAATGACTGCACTTGTCCTTTAACCGGCCTTTCTGTTTTCATTTTTGTAAGCACACCCCCCTCAAACAAACACACAAACTCTCCTACATAGTGGCGAGAGGGATCTTTTTGAAGGGTAAATTATATCTTACCTTCCTTGCTTGCTACTTTGCATTAGCTTCCCATTGCATTTAGAAGAAATTAAAATACTTATTCTGTTAAGTTCCTACATATAGTGTGTAGAATGATGATTACAACTACAGATTCTAAAGTCAGACTGCCCGTGTTAGTGACAGATTTTATCATTTACCAGCTGTAAGTTTTATTATGTGATCTTAGGCAAGCCATTAGTTTTCTCTTTGCTCCATGTCCTCACTTGCAAAATAGTGGTTAATAATAGTTCCTTTGACACACAGATATTGTTAAGATAAAACTAGTAAATGCTTGTTTGAAATAGTGTTTGGCATATTGTATATTCGTTATCATTACTGTTACTGCTCTTCTTGCTAAAAGTTATTATTATACACTACCTGGCCCTACTGACTTTTCAATTTTACTTTAAACCAATTCTCTCCACCCACCCCTGACTATGTTCCAGCTACTGTGAAGTTTTTACTGTTTTGAAAGTCTTCCCACATGTTGTTCTCTTTTCTTAAGACTTTGCTTATCCCAGCTGTTTGTATCGATGAATTACTTCAAGTCTGAGTTCAGATATCACTTCCTCTGGAAGATCCAGCCTACTGAAAATAGGGCTTATTCCATCTCCACACTTTAGTCACTCTATTTCATATCCTCTTTCATTTTCTTCAGAACATATTACCATATTTATTATTTTAATGAATTGCTGTTTGTTTTGTTTTGTTTTGTTTTGCTGTTGCTGTTTATTATTCATCTCTGACCATGGAAATGTAAGTTCTTCTAATAAAAAATGCAATAGGTGTTCAGAAAAAAATTGAAAAATGACTATATATGTATAGATATAGATGTATAATTTATATCCATATATGTATATATACACACTTGCATATATACATACACACACACACATATGTTCCACATTTGATTTAAGTCATGAGACAGAGAGGTAAGAATCATGGCTAGACAGGTTTATGGCTTTTGAAAATAGATTTTGTTTTATTCTTTGTCTTTGGATGCCACTGAAGGAATTAAAGTACTAAGGAACTGTAATAACCTAATCAGACTTTTAAGTTTTAAAGACAATTCTGGAAGCAGAGTTAAGGATGGTTTGGAATGGACAAGATTGAAGAATGTTATATCAGTTACAAATTTTTTGAAAAATATTTGAGAAAAGTGTCTAAACTACAGCAACGTTAGTAGAAATAAAATCAAGAACAAGTATAAAAGATACTTAAATGCAATTGCTGAATTCTCATCCTCACTTGCCAGTAAGTACAAATGTGTAACATTTATGATAATATTTCAAATCTGAATACTTCATAACCTGTATGCTGACTCATTAAATACTATTCCCAAATATACCTTACTCAAACCCAGAGGTTCAATAAGAGTACATATGGCAATTAAACATGTAAATTGAATGTAACCTGGTAATTTTCCTTTTAAGAATCAAAGGTGAGGGTGTATCAATTAAACCAAAGCTTCTATCTTTTACTGACATTTTTTATCAGCATCATTGAACACTGTTGTTCTACTCAGTCTACATTCTGCCTTCTGTAAGAAGTGAAAAGGTCAATCAAGCAAGGAATATGTTGAGCACATTTCACATTATAACTGTGACCATGATTCTTTGACATCTCTGGCCTTGCCTCTCAGTATAGCACAAATTCTAACTTATTCATCATGACTTATTTTACAGATCCTCTTATTTCTGTCTTCAATTCAACTTTCACTGTCCCCCTCCCCATCACCTATCAAACAAGTCTGAAATTCATAGTGGACCACGTTCAAATTCTTTTTCATTAGACTTTTAGTCACAAACACCTTATGGAATGGGCTCAGCTTGTGTTTTACCATTCGTGTCAATGAATAAGATACAAAATGTAAAAAACTGGTAGGTCCAGAATAGCTTGAGAACCTTTAAGGAAGACAACGTTGCCTAACTCATTATGTTGATCTCTGAGTCTCAGTGTGGGTGCTGTCAAAATACCACTAAATTGGATTTTAAAAGTTGGTGCAGGATTCCCATATTTTTGGCTAACGTGATTAGATGGAGGGTAGAGTCATTCACAAAGAGGTAATAAAGGCACAGATTTTTAGAAGATTTTTTTAATATTTACTTTCCAGAAGACTTGAGATTTCTCTGTAGAAATACATATCTCATCTTTTCAAAGTAGATTTACAAACATGTGATTTGTCATTTACAAAATCCCTATGATGGAGGCTTCAAAGTTGTTACATATCATTCCTATTTTGTAGGAGAAATCAACCCAAACTAAATGTCAACATTTTTAAGTGTACACTTACAGTTAGAAACCAGGAATTTTGCCTTCTACTGTAGGGTGGTTTTGTGTGTGTGTGTGTGTGCTTCTACTATATCATGCTGGCCACATTTAATCTCACATACCTAACTTTCACATTTTCCTCATTTACTTTCTCAGCAATAGAACTTCTGATTGTCCTCTATCATGACTTTTTTTCAACAAGAAGGCAATGTGTGCAGGATTAAGAGAATAATAGGTAAAGTGCAAGAACACAAGTGAAAGATCTTCAACCCCACAGACTGCATGAACTCTTTACGCTCTGTCTCTTGGTCTCATGAAATACTGTAAAATATCTATTATTTTTAATCCTATAAGTTCTACTTTTTTGTCTCTATAGTCACAATGTCTTTACTATAATTTCCTTATAATAATGGATAATTCAGTGAGATTTTAACAGTTCTATATTTATTTTGGCATTATTGATATTCAGACAAAATCCCAATCATGGGTCATGAGAGGAAATAAAAAAGGTTCATGAATTTTATTTCATGAGGCATATATTTAGATGCAGACATTTTCTGTGTAATCTCTTAATGTAGATTTGGAAAGAATACCTGTAAGGCCACCATATGTCTCTCACCTTCCTCTGGCAGTCACTGCTTAAGGGATGATCTCACTCTTAGCAGTTCCTGGAAACCATCAAATGCAAAACCTGGCAGAGAAAGAGACAGTGCACTCATGCCTTATAGAACAGGGGAAGCAGCTTGGAAGAGTTGAATACTAGTTCATCCTAATGCCTAGACTAGCAAAATTAAGTTACAGTTAGCAAAAACTGTCGTTATTTGAAAGCTATTGCCCAAACATCTGGAAACTTAATAGAAGTTCCAGAAATGTTTGACCAAATGTGGCCCTTTGCAGCTACAAAAACTCTACCATGAGCCTTTATAAATGATATATCAGACTGACGCTTGGCAGTGAAAAGTTAGGATTGGTTGTGAAGGAGCCTTGCTCCTTTGTTAAGGTGCACATTTCACTCCGCAATATCTGACTGCCGCTTCCTCCCTGAAGCTTCAGAAAATAACGAGTCCATTGTATACCTCGTGACCAAATTTAAAACAAAGTAAAACAAAGCAAATACGCATATGTTCAAGCTCATCAAAACGCATAAACATGTGAAATTTTTCTATATCAATTGTGCCTCAATAATGTTAAAAAACAAAAATGTTCTCACATTTGCATTTTATATTTTACCAGCTACAGCCTCATGGGTATCTTTAAATTTTGTTAACACTGAATATTATGTATATATCTGATTTTTTAGAATGGTTAATTATCAATTCTTGCTTAATAAATAAATACTAAAATATAACGCTAAACCCATTGTAAATCTTTGTGGAATGTAATGCTGGATTTCAAAAGTTGAATCAATCAACTGACCTTGAAGTCATGTTTCTGATTCTCAAAATATGTATTTGATTATTATGAACCTCAAATTTCACAAGTTTGTATGTATATGTAAAATTGTTTTTGAAAGATGTCAATAAACACAAAGAAATTAGTTTTGCTTCTTCTCTAATAGAATACATTCTTGACTCAGTTCAGAAGTTGTAAGACTTGTTTTGCAGCCAGAAAAATAAGGGAAGAAGTAATAATAAATTCATTTTCACAAGAATTTATAATGTAAATTTTCTCAGTTGATAAAGCATATTAAGTACTTATGGTGTGCTAGGCATGAAAGTTTATGTTATCCTATTGACAAGGAACCAGAGGCTTAGTATGCAAATTTCCCAAGGTTATTCTAAGAGTAAGTGGTAACACACAGCCTATCACAGCTGTCTTTGGGAGTTGGAAGTAAGTCTTATGGAACACACCCACATAATCCTATACAGGTAATCCTGTACATCTTGTCATCTTTGCTTGATTCTTAAATTAGTATTTTTTACTTTAGCCATTCAAGTGGGTGCAAAATATTGTCACCATGTGGTTTTAATTTGCATTTTGTGTTACGGTGGGTATACATTTTACTTTTATGTATGCTGAAACCACAAAATGCATGGCTACTATTTTTGCTTTTAATAGTTATCTATCTATAGAAGCAGATAACAATAATAAGAAATGCCTTTTCTATCCAACTTTATTTTAACTATTTTTGGAGTTCAGTATTTCTTTTTTACAGATCCAAATTTCTATCTGGCATCACATTCTTTATGACACAGAAATTTGCTTTAACATTTTTTGCAGTAAAGATGCAAATTCTCTTTGCTATTACTCTTCTGCAAAATTTCTGGGAGAAAAAGTCTATTTCTCCTTAATTTTTGTAAGGTATTTTAGCTGTGTATATCTAAATTGACAGGATTTTTCCCCCAGTATTTTAAAGAGTCACCTCCCTTGTTTCCTGTCTTGCATAGTTTCTGATGGGAAATTTACTCTTATGCTTATATTTACTCTTCTATAGGAATATGTTGCTGTATTCTGGCTGCTTTAAATATTTTTCTTTATTATTTCATTCAGCAGATTGATTTTGATATACCTTGGTATTTTTTGTCTTTATCCTGCTTGAAATTAGTGAGTTTTTTGCATCCCTTGATTTATAATTTTCATCAAATTTGGAAATTATTATTTCCTCAAATAATTTTACCTATCTCTTTTTTCTGGAATTCAAATTAAATTTATATTATATTACTATTTTCCCAAAAAATTTGAGTCTCTGTTAATTTATTTTCAGTCTTTATCTTCCCCTATCTTCTTCATTTTGGATAGTTCCTATTGCTATGTCTTCAAGTTGAAGAATCTTTTTTTCCTACAGTATTTCATTAGCTGTTAGTTTTTTCCGGTGAGATTTTTATTTTATGTACTGATTTTTAACTCAAAATATTGTTCATTTTTGTATTTTTCATTCCTCTTCTCACTGATTTTTCCTATAAGTCTTTAAGCATATTGAGTATATTTATAAAATCTGTTTTAATGTTCTTATTTACTAATTACATCATCTACATCACTTCTCTATTTCTTTTTTATTATTTATTCATTTATTTATTTATTGAGACAAAGTCTCCTCTGTTGCCCAGGCTGGAGTGCAGTGACGTGATCTCAGCTCATTTCAACCTCCGCCTCCCGGGTTCAAGCGATTCTCCTGCCTCAGCTTCCCAAGTAGCTGGCACTACAGGCAACCGCCACCACACCCAGCTAATTTTATTTATTTTATTTTGTATTTTTAGTAGAGACAGGGTTTCACTATGTTGGCCAGGCTGGCCTTGAACTCCTGACCTTGTGATCTGCCCACCTCAGCCTCCCAAAGTGCTGGGATTACAGGCATGAGCCACTGTGCCTGGCCTCTCTATTTCTTTAGAGAGATTGAGTGTTTTCTTGTTATTATGGATCACATGTTCCTCCTTTTTGCAAGTCTAGTAATTTCAGGATTGTATGCTTGACTTTGCAAACTTTATGCTACTGAATGCTTGCTTTTATTTATTATTTTAAAGAGTTTTGGACTCTGCACTGGTAGGTAGTAAAGTGACTTACAGATGTGTTTCTTATCTTTTGGAAGCTTATTTCTTTATTCTCATAATGGGAATATTAATTTGATTTATGTTTAATGTAAGATCTCTTATCATTGGGTTTATATATAACATGTTAATATCTATTTTCTCTGCGAATCTATTTTTTTGTAATTTTTTAAAGGGCAGGTCTTTGGTGTTCTTTTTGGCTTGTTTGGTCCCAATAAGCCTGGCCATTCAGAGGGCCTACATGGAAAGCCCCATATATCCAAAAGTGTCTCTCAATTCTTGTTCCTGTGAGAGCACTAGGCAGTTTTCTCTTTAGAGGTCAATAGTACTTGTTCATTTCCTAGAACTACTTTTTGACTCTACACATTTGTAGATTAACATAACTTTCTATGAGATTTCTGGAAACTTTTCTGTTGGCAGCTTTGTCCTCTTGGTACTTTTCCTCACCAGTTCTACGTGTCTCAACCTCCCTAAACTCTGATCTGTGTCTCATAAAACTCATGATCACAGTAGGCTCTGTTTGGGTCCTTTTTCTCTGTACAAAAATTACCTCCAGTAGCTGAGCAGTTGCGACACCTGATTCATTTGTTTCCCTTCTCTTAGGGATCATAGGCCTGCACTGCCTATTGTCCCTTGTCTTAAAACAATGATTCCACATTTTGTCGAGTTTTCTATTTCTTGATAATGGGACAGTGATTCTGGTCTTCATAGGTTTGTCATGAATGAAGCACATCTTGCATCATTTCTGTCAGAGGTGGTGGCGGGCACACAGACTCTGGAGAGAAATGGCATACATTTCCATTTCAGATCCAGAGAATATTGCAATCACCCAACGGTTCATATTGCCTGCTGCCCTGAAAAGCCACTGTACTGAGAACAGGTTTTTGCAATAGAGAAAGGGTTTAATAAATACAGAGCCAACTAAGCAGACGGACAAGAGTTTATTATTACTCAGATCAACCCCTCTGAAAATTCAGAGGCTAAGGATTTTTTGAGGACAGTTTGGTAGGCAGAAGGCTACAGAATGGGGAGTGCTGATTGGTTGGGCTGGGGGTGAAATCATGGGGAGTTGAAGCTGTCCTCTTTCAGAGTCAGCTCCTAGGTGGGTACCACAAGACCAAATGAGCCAGTTCACTGGGCTGGGTGGCACCAGCTGATCCAACACAACGCAGGGTCTGAAAAATACCTCTAACACCAATCTTAGGATTTACAATAGTGATGCTATCCATAGGAGCAACTGGGGAGGTAAGGAATCTTGTGGCATCTGGCTATGTGACTCCTGAGCCATAATTTCTAGTTTGTGACTGATTTGTTCATTTTACAAAGGTGGTCTGGTCCCCCAAAAAGGAGGAGGTTTGTTTTGAGAAGAGGCTGTTATCATCTTTGTTTCAAAGTTAAATAGAAACTAAATTCCTCCCAAAACTAGCTTGGCCTATGCCCAGGAATGCACAAGGGCAGCTTGAGGGTTAGAAGCAAGAGAGAATCAGTTAGGTCACATCTCTTTTACTGTCACAATTTTCCTATGTCAGGTTTTTCTCACTTTCACAATAATTTCAGTATTAATTCTGGGAGCTTCAGCAACATATTAACCTTCCTGTGCCTCAGTTTCTTCATCTGTAAAGTAAAGGTGGTAATAACAATAACCACTTCACGGATTTGTTGTTATGATTAGAGGAGTTATTATGCGCCAAGCTCTTAGAAGAGTGGGTAGCACGTACTAAGAACTATGTAATTGCTGTTTTTACCCAGGCTACTTCCTCTGTTCCTTGACCTAGTTTCCCAGAATGATTGCTTCTCTCTTATTAAAGAGAAAGTAATCTGCAAGAATTGACAATAAACTTCTTACTGCAATTATGCCTGAGGGAGGGCTAGAAGAAAATGTGGTAGTGATCAAAGAGAATTTAACTTTCATTTGTAATGTTTTGATTTTTTTCTGAAGAGAATAGATGTTTGTGTTAATTTTGTAACTAACTGTGCTTTTAAAAAGAAGAAAAAGCAACAATATTTCTTCCATGTTAGAGACTGCTAGTGATTACCAAACTCCAGGCTCTTATCTTTCTCCTGTTCACATCGAGATTCTATTTCCCAGCCTCTTCTGTTATTAGATGTAGCCATAGGACTAAGATCTAGCCAACAAAGTTTTACTGAGGTTCCATGCTCTACTTCTGAAAATATACTTTATTTTAGGGCTGAAGAAGCCTAAGGCAATGTTTGGTGACTTAAGATCAGAGGGAAACTATCCCTAAAGTGATGGTCCTATTACATAGATCCTGTGAATGCAGAGTTCATTTGGAAAAAACATTTGTATTTTAAAATGTTAGCCCCAACTTTCAAGTTGTGTTACTGCTTCAATCATATTGCTAAAACTCTGAAAACAAGAACACCATTTGTTCTAGTATTATTTATCCTCTTGGTATTTGGCAAAATGTCAAGGACATCAGACGCATACATATAACCCTCATGTTGTTTTTTTATTTCCTCACATAAATATTTCACTGAGAATGAAATATTTTGAGGATTATTCTCTTGTCATTTTTATTTATGTTTAAACCTTAGCTCCTTAAATTCTGAGTGTTCACAAAGGATAGCCTGCTACAAATCGCCAACTGCTTCCAAATCTCAATTGCATATATTTTTCATTTTATTGTTTAACACAAGTTTAATTATCATATCCTAAACATGTCTTTTACTAGAACAATGAAATATCTCTGATGGCCAAAATAATTTTCTCTACCATTAAAGATGCATGGGGAGACTACCATATAAATAAGGGAGATTTAAAACGCCATTAAAATCAAAATTGCTTCTTATTTCTCATATGCAAATAGTGCATTTCTCTCTTGGTCTCATGCAATCAATTGATTAAAAACAACAATAAGATAAGGGGTGGAGAATCTAAAGGCAAAATATTATCATAAAATTTGTGAGCATGTAAAATATAATTAAGTTGAATTTAAACATTTAAAGCAGAAGAATCATAGAGAGATTAAAGGAGCAAAAAGAGGTGGTGTGTTATTTTTGTTTTAGACTTTTAGAATGGATGTATTTGTTCCAAATATAATTTTCAATTTTGCCAGCTTTAAAAAAACTTCATCAAGGCCAGAAAAAAATAACACGTTAAGAAGACATACTCTTTCTAAGACTGGGAGAATATATTCATTTAAAAAGAAGTATGTGGGCTAATAAAAAAATCCAAACCTCAATTACACAAAAATTGCCAAAAACTAACCCATTATGTTGCTTATGTGACATTATGTAAAATCGAAAAATCATAAGGACCATGGTGTATTATTTGCCCATGAAAACCAACAATAGAAATTAGCAAATATTGAAAACTTGCATCTTTAGAGATTCTTTGACATCTGTTACTTTAAAAGCTTCTCTTTATAAAATGGCTCTGGAGCTTAATTCTGTGTTTAAATCCATATACCCAACCACTCTCAGAATAAAATTAAAGTTATTTATATACAAAATTAATTAGGAGATGTGTCAATGTTTCCTGTCATTTATTTGCTAGTTTCACTGTGAACCTTAGTGCTTCTGCTGCATAAATGCTATGAGGAAAACAGACACACATTGACAAATGAAAATAATTATTTCATAATTATTCCAATAATGTATTATGAATTTAATGCTATTACAGAAAGTCATTTCATATACCTGGAAGCCACTCTTATTGCTGGTGTTTTGTTTTTATCTGCAAACTGGATAGTCATAATTTAAAGGACCTCTATAAAAGATAATTTTGTTGACCACAGTTAATTTTGACTGTTTCAGTCAGCTAACTACATATCAATGTGTGTACTTTCCCTTAATGGCGTAGAGCTTTTGCTTGGAAATTAGTTATCAAGCCAGGACTACATTTCCCAACATCACTTGCCTCTATGAGTTTTCACATGAGACTTGTTGTTGCCAGTAGAATGTGAGTGAACGTGACAGGTACTGTTTCCTTTCCAAAGAGTTCTTTCCAAAGTGATCTTTCCAAAGCATTTCTTTCCAAAGTATTCTTTCTTTGTGCTCTTTTTCTGCTCAAGGCAAATGACCTCAAAGGTATGGTCATCCATACCATAAGATGAAAGGAGCCTGTCTCTCTAAATCACTAAATGGAAGAGCATCACCTGCTAACCAGGAACACCTACTTAGGACTATTAAGTGAGCAATAAATAAATTTCTTTTTTGTTCGGGCCATTAAGCACCACTGGATATTCTTTTTGCAGCTCAAGGTATTTGTTATAGAAGCTAAACAATATAGTCTTATTAGAATAGTTGAAAACATTGAAGCCTAATGTCTATTTTCTATCTGGTAAGAGAAAGCACCTGAAGGAAGACCTACAATGACATAAGAGATCAACCTGACTCTAACATTTGTCACCAGTAAATTGCTAGAGTGGATCTGACTACTCTGTCTACCTGGTTAAACATCTCTCCCTGCATCCTCACTACTTCAAACATGCCCTCCACAAACCACTTCTGTTGAAGATGATCCCCTAATAATAGAATTATTTCACTGGTGAAGAATATAAACAAGGTAAGTCTACCTGTTTGAACTTTTAAGGATACAGAGCACATAAAATAACAGTATAGTATGAGAGAAAGCAATCCTTGTTAACTAGAATCCCACTAAAACATATAGTGTGATAGGCCAAAACCGCTGTTTTGAAATCATGTATAAAGACACTCAGAGGATGATGTTAAAAACAACATAGCTGCTCAAGGAAGTCATCGAAGGCCAAAGCACCTTTTTTCCACCTACACTGCCATCTTTGTTTGTGACTGTCATGTGATTGTTTCACCTCCAGATATGAAGGCATTCCAAAGAAAAGAATGAAAAAGTGGTAAATGACAAAAGACATGCCCATACTGACTGTATGCCTTTATTTTGATGAAAACAATAACTTTTCTGGAAATTTATGTGGTAGACCTTTGCTTATATTATATTAGCGAGGACTGGTTGCATAGCTACTCTTAGCTGTAAGGGAGACTAAAGAGTTGACGATAGGCACATTCTCCAGAATGTCTGCCCAGGTAATAATTTCACATTTTTGTGTATATCATTTCCCATTGAAAGCTTTTCAGAAACAAAGTTTTAAGATCCAGGTTTCATTGGTTGTACGTATTTGTCAACATCTTTTTTAGCTAAAGTATATATTTATAAAAATGTATAGGACACGATGTGTGGGAATAATTTTGAATCAGAATACAAATACAATTTAAGAACTATAGGAATCATGTAATGAAATTTTAATCAGCACATGGAAAATTAATAAATGGATCCCAGAATCTAAATGATGCATCCTATATATTACTAACTCTACAAGGTCTCATGCTATTGCATTAAAAATAACTTTCTTAAGATCCTAGTGTGATAGTTATACACATTCATATGTGTGTGTGTGTGTGTGTGTGTGTGTAGGCATTTTACTGTGTCTTAATTACATTAAAGATATTGGTCAGATTACAAAATGTAATACATCTAACTTTATGCTGTTTAGTAGATTTTTGTCACGTAATATTTATTTTAGCAACAGATTACTGATATTTAGTTGGAAATGACTACATTTAAAAATTCTTCACATTACTATATTGAGCAAAATCAAGTATATGTTACTAAATAGGGAAAAAGGAATATTGAGTATTTAACTAATGGTGTGGGCCATACAAACAAACCAAAATATATATGTTCTTAAAGAAATTTTCTGTGGGCATTTTTAATTACATAAGATAGATTTTTTTAAACACGATGTTGTGAATCCTTCGAAGACAAATATGGCTTTAAAATTGTAGAGCCCAATTACTGTACCAACTTAAAAATCTAAAGTACTCATAAGCAACAGTGTGTTTCATTTACATTGGTTCAGCCTGTTAGTTACACAAACTATCAGAACTGTGTACTTTAAATGATTTTAAGTTGACACGCATTCTAGTCACAGTAATGAGGGTTGAAGACAAGGCAGAATACAGTTAAGAATAGTAATTCACCATATTTTAAATGCCAGTCCAGAATTTATTTGTTCCTTCTGCTAGTTAATACCTATTATGTGAGTCAATATGGTAATAGTAGTAGCTAATATTGTTGCCAAAGATTCTACATTATTTTTATCATCACGGCAATTGTGCAATCTATTCGTTCCTATTCATGTCATATATTTAGAAAGGTTAAGTTGCTTTACCCTAGATTACAGGAGAGAGGGCATAGCTTTTATGTGCCTAAAACAGGAATCAAATGCTGGCCCCTCTCTCTGATC